CTAATCTGAATGTATGAGAAGCGCTCTGAGTACTGCCCACAGCACCAGCACCATGGCCAAGGGCTTGGCTCTGGGATCAGACAGACATGCACTCAGCTGAGCAACTTAGGGACTTGTACCTCCTGAAGCTCCAGTGTCTTCATGTGTAAATTAGGGTGCTGAGATAGTTCCCTCTCAGGGTTACTGAGTGGATGTGATGAGATTTAGTGAAAGAGGGCTGCTGGGGAGCTACACTAAAATGGAGCGGAAAGGGGCCTGGAGCCATACCTTGCAACTGCTGTAAAAGCAAAGCTCTCTGCAGCACAGAGCCGTTGAGGAGGGAGGCCGAGTTGGTGCCCTGGAGATTCAGAAGCTGCTGCTGTGGCTGCTGCTGGGGGAGCCCCCTGTATGTTGGGAGGGTGTGTCAGAGGGTTGTTGGGAAGGCACACAGAGGATTCCCCTGGGGGTAGGAGTTGATGATCCCCCAAGCCTCAAGCAAGGATGCCTCTGGGAGAAAGGACTGTGGTGAGGGGCCTTCAAGATATGGGTCTGAGTGGCAGGGCTGGGGCCACCAGCACCACCACCACCCCCCCGGCCAGTGGGAAGCTCACCTGCCCACCGCCATGGGCATGGGGGCCTGCGGTGGGGACTGCTGTAGCAGCTGCTGGAGTTGCAGCAACTGCTGCTGCTGCAATTGCTGTTGCTGAAGCTGCTGCTGCTGGAGTTGTTGCTGCTGAAGCTGCTGGAGCTGCTGCTGCTGGCTGAACATGGTGGCTAGGGGTAGAAAGACGGGTAAGATGGAATCCCCCCATAGACAGTCCAGTTCTCCTCCCATCCACGGCCACTCAGCCCAACCCACAGCCCTCAAATACGGCCTGCTGAACTTCACAGCTACACTCCCAATCCTGCCAAGAGCATGCCACATTCGCAAGCCATCATTTTCAATGCCCCTCCAATCCTGCCAGCAGCAACCCTATTCAACCGCCCTCCCGTCAATTTCCCCAAATCCTGCCAATAGCCCTTCTTCATATCCCCAACCCCGACCTCCAACTCTCGTGGCTCCATCCTTCCAGGAGGAGCGCCTCCCTACCCCCATCATTCTGCACCAATCGCGTCCCGCCGCTTGCCCCTTTCGACTCACACCTCTTTGTGATATTCCCACCCTCTCCCCGTGCACTATCCCGTGTCAACAAGATTCAACGACCCCACCACTCCAATACGCTTTCACTTCCGCCCATGAACCAAGCAGACTTCCCTCTACCCCATTCCCACCCCCCCATGCCCTCCCAACTCCCCCGTCCCCCATTCCGCTAACTCCTTCCTCTGCAGATACAGACATCACCCATCAAATCCTGAAATTCCACCAGCCCGCGAAGCCCGCAGCCTCCATTCAAGTTGTCCCTAATTCCCTACCCCGCTTCAAGTCCCCCGCACCTCGCCTTTTGCCGCGGGAATTGCACAGCCTCCTCCCCGCACCCCCTCAGCAATCGCGTCGCCCTCTCGGGAAGAAAGGGCTGGGGACCTGCCACGCGCTGGCCGGGCGGCTCCAGCTCCCGTCCTCCGGGGTTCCCCGCGGCTCCGCCGGGGCCTGCCCGCTCAGAAGGCCCATCCGCGGGCCGGGCCGGCAGCGCCCTCTGGAGGACGGGAGGTCCTGGTGCCGCCGGCCGCGCCGCGAGAACCTTCCCGCGCACCGGTCACGCTGCGGGGGCGGCGCCAGCTCACCCGGCGCCCCGGAGGCTGTGGGCGTGCCTCGGGGGTGCGAGGGGGCCCTAGGCAGGGCAGACCCTCCATGTCGCGTCCTCCGCATCCAGAAGGGGCGTCTCTGAGCCCAAGGTCCATCTGTCGCCCGGAGGGATCTGTCGTCAGGCAGAGCCATCGCAGGGGTCTTTGAGAAGGACCCGTCCCCAACCGACCTCCCTGCGGCCAGTCCCGCGAACCTGGAGCCCCGCGCGGAGCTGGCGTGGGAGGGGGCGTGCACCCGGCCGATTTGCATTCGGGGACCGAGGCCCAGCAAGAAGGCGACCGGCCATGGTCGCACATCCCGGCAGAAGAGCTTGCCCTAGAAGGGGTGGGGTGGGGGCTCGGTCAGAAGTATTCTCATTAGATTTGGCTCTGGAGTGGGTGAGGAGGGCTGAGTTCAGCTGTAAAAAACGGGGGTTCATACTGCCCCTAAAACGGTTGTAACCCAAGGACTCCTTTATGGATGACTCTGTCTCCTGCCCCGGCGCACCCCCACCCCGGGCCCCATACGGGTACTGTGCTAAACAACTCTTGGTTACTAAGCAGCAATTCCTATTCCCTTTTCTTTTGCTCAAAGCCGTCAAAGTTTGTAACGGCCCTGGAGGATTCGCTCTTTTTGCATTAAGCACCGACTATGTGCCAGCACTGCACACGGTGGCGAGAGGAACGCGCAGATCAGAGTCTGGCCGGCTGTTTTGATGGAGGGAGGTCAGGCAGCGGAGCCCAGCGGCTCAACAAATCACTGCAGTCATGTGACAAGTGCTGCCCTAAAGCTCTAGCCCGGGCTCTACCGCAGCCTGGGGCGGCGGCAGAGGTACCTAACCGCCTGGACCAGTAGCGGAAGAGCTGGGAGTTAGAGGCGCCCGGGGTGGGGCCGGGGTCAGGGACAAGTAGGCGCCTGTAGGTGGAAAGGCAGGCGGGAAGGTTGGGCTTTGAGCGCCGGGCTGAGGAGTTGAGGCTCCCTCCCTCCCACCCCAAAGGTAGGAGCGCTAGGGGAGGGTATGAAGCCCGGAGCAACAGCATCAAACACGAGGATTAGAAAATTCATTCTGGGTGAGAGACAATGGTGGTGGCCCGAAGCAAGACAGTCAGCGGAGAAGAAAAGGCGCCGAGAGGGAGCCCACGCGTCCAAACAGGTCGAAGCACATTGGCACCCTGACCTGGGCACCGGAGTCAGAGGGTTGACCCTGGCGCATGTGGGAGCCTATTTTCTCGTCTGTACAGTGGGTGCCACCTCCCAGGGTAGTGTGAAGATGACATTTACATAATGCTTAGCAGACACCTGGCACAGAGGGAGCTTAGCAAACTGCCACAGTAAAAAAAAAAAAACTATAAATAATGCTCACGCTGGTGAAGGATGGGAAGACAGCACTGACTTCCTCCATTTCATCAGTTTACCTTTCTGGAAAGCAGTTTGCAATTATGTATCAAGATTCCTGCACATGTTCTGCCCTTTGACCTGGTATCCCCACTTGTAGGAATCTAGCCTAGCAAATAATCAGAAACGAGATTTTCAAAAGCTAGCAGGCTACTCAGGGAACATTATTTATGATAGCTGCCTGGAAAATAATCAACTTTAGGGGAGCAGCTAAATAAATCGTGGCGTCTGCCTCTTATGGAACAGCATACAGCCATCAGAAATTATGTTTTCAAAGAATCTTTAAACACTCACAATATGATGTGAAGTGAACTCAGCAGGATACAAAACTGTGTATACATCCTGGTTTGGGAAAGAATAAATATATGTGTGTAGTGGGCTCATGCTGGGGGTTCACTTTCTGTCCTCTTTTCTAATTTGCTGTGATGGGTTTGTATAAAGTTATCATGGAGAGGGAGTGAACCTTTTTTTTTTTTTTTTAATGCATATGACCTTGTCCTGCCTCTTCAAAGGCCAGATGAGATAATGAATGGGGACATTGGGGCTAGACTCTTGTTAACTGCTTTTAATCAACCCCATACAGGCAAAGCCCTCCAAGGAATATCATCAGAGAGAGAAGAGAGGCCTCATCTCTTAACATCCCAAATGGAGTCCCAGGTTGGAGAATCACCATGAGGCCTCATTCTTGCCTCTGATTTGAGATGCCCCTTTATCACAAAGTAAATTCTTATACACATTTGGATCTATATCCAGATCCATTCTGCTCCAGGAATCTACCTGTCTCTTCCCATGATGATACCACGCAGTGTGATCATTGTAGGTTTGGAATATGTTTTAGTACCTGATAGCACAAGCTCCTGACATTCTTCTTCTTTTTTCTAAATATTTCTTGCCAACTCTCAGTCATGTACTTTTTCAGATAAATTATAGAAATAAAAAGTAAAATTATATAAAGTAATAAAAATAATGTCAACCCCCCCCCCAGAAAAATCCCATCAGAATTTTGATTGGCATTGCATTAAATGTGTTAAGTTGGAGAGGAGCTGACATATTTACACCAAGTTTTTCAGTTTAAGAATGAGACAAATGTCTCCATTTATTCAAGCTTTCTCTTATGTTATGGTTTTGCAGGTTTCTTCAGCTAGCTAGCACCTGTACAGTTTCTTTGGTGGCTATTGTCACTATTTTCCCAGTATAATGTCTAACCAACTATTAATTGTGGCATATTTACCTTGTAACCTACCACTTCTCTCACCTTGAATTATTTCTGCACACAGTGATGTCATTTTCCCCTCAAGGGCAGAAAGCAGCTGCTGAGTCTTCCCTGTGTCCTTGGTGCCCAGCTCTGAGCCCTGCACATCACAGCTGGCTGGTAAAGCTTGAGCGAATGAAGGAAGGAAGGAATTGCTCCAGGATGTAGTTTCTTCCCTCTGTCCTCAGATGTTCAGCATAAGCAGCTCTTCTCTCCTGGACATCTGTGACCATCACCCCACAGAAGTGAGCCCCCCAGGTGCCCAGCACAGCACAGCAAGACAAGCGACATGAATCAGTGTCAGCATAACTCCAGCTCAGAAACCCCGGGAACAGACTGTGCTCAGTGACAGCTCCAGGTCAGACAAGAGGCAGAGAACAATCTAAGGCCATATGCGTATCACACACCTCCCCAGTGGCTGTCGCCCACCTGTGTCTTTAACTATAAACAAACAGGGAGAGAGAAACAGAGGACAGAGGTGGAGGATGGCAGGATGGGCACAGCCCTGTCACTGCCCCAACTCCTGTGGTGACCCAGGGCAGATCACCCCCCGATTTGGGGTCTTAGGTTGACCATCTCTGCTGAACAGATTGACTTGTAGGTTAGAGGCGTCTACCTGCCTGGGCCTTGTCTGCTCTCCATCAATCCCTTCACCTCCTTTGGCTCTGACAGGTGTGACCCCCAGTGGGGAAGAAGAATACGGGGCACTCTAAAAGTCACTCTAATCCTGGCCTGCATTTCCATCCTATAGTGGGTTGAATTAAAGAAAACAAAACAAACAAAAAACAGTTGCCATGGAGTCATCTCTGACTCATGGTGACCCCATGTGTGTCAGCACTGAACTGTGCTCCATAGGGTTTTCAATGGCTGATTTTTTGGAAGTAGATCGCCAGGCCTTTCTTCCAAGGCACCTCTGGGTGAACTCAAACTTCCAACCTTTGGGTTAGCATCTGAGCACATTACGCGTTTGCACTATGCACGGACTCCAGTGGGTTAAATAGTAGCCTCAAAAAAGATATGTCTGACCAGGGTGAAATAGATGATCCCAGTTAGAATGGGAGAAAAATGCAGAACAAAACTCAAACTCTTAAAAAAGTCCAGACTAACTGGACCACCTGAGACCAGAGACTCCCTGAGACTATTTGCCCCAAGATTCTCTTTAAACCTTGAACAAGCACTATCCCCTGAGATCACCTTTTGGCAGAAAAACAGAGTGACACACAAAATCAAGGATATTACCTGTTAGATCAGTGCTCTAAAAAAAAAAAAAAAATCTGAGTCCAAAAGGACAACATTTAATCCAAGCAAAGATGAGAAGGGAAAGGTGCAGGGAAACTAGAGTACTGGAAACAGAACAATCAGAACACAATTAAAGAATGTTGACACAATGTGGAGAACATAATTAATGTTATTGATCAGTTTGTGTTCACACTGTCAAACAGGAACCTAATTTGCTGTGTATACTTTCACCAAAAACACAATAAAATATTATTTTAAAAAAGAAGAGAAAAAGAAATGTCCAAGTCCTAACCCCCAGGACCTGCGAATGTGATTTTATTTAGAAAAAAAATCTTTGCGGATGTAACTGAGTTAAGGATCTTGAGATGAGATCATCCTGGATTAAGTGTGGGCCCTGAATTCAATGACAGGTATCTATATAAGAAAAAAAAAAGGGGCAAAGGGAGGTTTGAGACACAGAAACACAGAGAAGACAGCCATGTGAAGAGATTGGAGTTATGTTGTCACACACCAGGAAAAGCCTGGTGTCACCAGAAGCTGGGAGAGGAAAGGAAGGATCCTCCCCTAGAGCCTTTGGAGGGATCACAGCCCTGCCAACACCTGGATTTTGAACTTATGGCCTCCAGAATTGTGAGGGAATAAGTTTCCGGTGTTTTAAGCCACCCAGTTTGTGGTAATTTGTTACAGCAGCTCTAGGAAACTAATACCCAAAAAGAACCCCATTGCCATTGAGTTGATTCCAACTCACAATGACCCAAGAAGACAGAGTATAGCTGCCTCATAGGGGTTCCAAGGCTATAAGCTTTACAGAAGCAGACTGCCACATCTTTCTCCCACGGAGTAGCTGGTAGGTTTGAACTGCCGACCTTTTGGTTAGCAGACAAGCACTTAACCACTGCACCTCCAGAGCTCCTTACGAAACTAATACACATCCTCAAAGCACCCCTGGAGGAGCAGGTGGGACCCATAATCACTTCCCCACCACCAGCAGGATGAGGTTCAGACTCCTCCACTCTCTGTTGTCGCTAGGAGTATGTGTGTGTTAGGGAAGCCACTTCACTTTTCTGAGGCTCTTCTGTGAAGTGGGGGTGATCACAGGCCTTAGGGAGGACAGGGTGAGTGCAAGGCCAGGTGCAGAGTAAACAGCAATACATGTTTGCTATTATCATTATCAACAGGACTATCTCTCCCTCCCCTCTCTCACCAAGCCCAGCCACAGTTGCTGCCTCTGTCCTCAAAGGAGCCAAGTTCCCTTCACAAACGCTTCCCCTCACCTCTAACACCTTACCAGGCCACTTCCTGTCCAGTCTTCCTGGCTCAGTTCAAACATCACCACCTTAGGGAGGCCTTTTTTTTTTTTTTTAATTGTTGTGCTTTAAGTGAA